TGCAAAGCATTTTTTGGTCTCAAAGAGTACTCTATTCTGCCAAGACAATTTTTAATTTCAATTCAATGTGTTTATTTTTTATTTAATTATACATATGATTTTAGCAAAATGTTACAAAAAATTGATTTGGATTTAAGGGAGGTTATATATAAGGCAAAGGATATTGTTGAAATATTAACAAATATCAGAGATAATGTGGATGAAAAATTTCAAGAAATATATGAAAAAGTAAAGGAGATCGCTAATATGTTTGGGATTGAAATTTTTAAACCTAGAGTAGTTTCTAGACAATCCAATCGCTCAAATATTGATGCATCTACGATTGAGGATTTTTATAAAATTAACATTTTTATTCCACTTATTGATACATTTTTATTTCAAAGGAAAGATTTATAAGTCACAATTTTATTTTAAAAAGCTTTTATTTTCTTTTGCCGGTTGAGTCTGAATTGTTGATTACACTTGAAACGCGAGAGGATATTAAGAACATCTCAGAGTTTTATTCTGATGATTTATTAGGGTCGTATGATAAGTTACTTTGTGATGTCGAATTTTGGTATAAAAATCTTGGCAGAATAGAGTACTCTTTGAGACCAAAAAATGCTTTGCAGGCCCTTTCCATGTGTAATTGCACTTTAGATTCCCTGCCCAATATCAAAACATTGTTTTTTATTTTAGCTACTTTACCGATTAGTACCTGTACTAATGAAAGGTCTTTTTCAACTTTGAAAAGGTTAAAAACCTATTTAAGAAATAGCACCGGTGAAAACCGTTTAAATGGATTAGCCCTATTAAATATTTATAAGGAGATTATTCTAGATAAAAATTTGATTCTAGATGAATTAGCCAAATCTCAGAGAAAAGTAGACCTCTCTTTATAAATTCAAATCATATAATTGTAATATTTTCTTAGTCATAAAATTTTTATATGTAAAACTTAATTATAATGAATTTTTAGTCATGATATTTTTATACTATATTTAATAATAGTATTGCACCTACAATAAGAATTATTTATATAATATACTCATTTGTATTAAATATAACTGTTAAATTATATTTTTTTAAATTGCATACAAGAATTACTTATATTTTATTGTAATTTTATTTTTTTAAAATATAGATATTTACAATCAATTTTTAAAATAGTAATCTGTATAAAATTTCTAATTTTGAAATTTATTTTTTTGTATATAAAATAAACACATAGTTAAATAAAGGGTTTATACTAAATAAAATTGTTAAATTGTATTTTTTTAGCAAGAATTACATATTTTATTGCAATTTTATTTTTTTAAAATATAGTTTATTTACATTCAATTTTTAATATAATAATCTGTATAAAATTTATATATTTTGAAATATATTTTTTTATATATTATTAAAATAAAAACATAGTTAAATAAATAAAGTTAATAATAAATAAAATCTCTGCAAAATATTGTTATATGCAAAAATTTAATTAAAATAATTATTTTTAACATAGAATAAGATATATTGAGTTGATCATAAAATTGGAAGGTTTGGGGGAGGCAAATTTTTTTTACATCGAATAGATTGAATTAATATACAATTTACTAAACATTGATAACATTTTCAAAATAATGCTTTCAGTCGCTTATTAATTATAAATTTGGCAAAAATTTTAATTCTAAAAAGGGGGTTTGGGAGCGAAGCCCCCAAAAAATTTTTCAACCCCCCCCCCCCCCCCATGGATCAATCCTGGCTACTCCACTGGCTAGCCACATAATGATGAATATAGCTGATTCAGGGTTATCAATGATTTGCATGTCAGCTTTCTGCGCTGATAATGCCTCTGTAAATTTTGGCAAAACCAAAGTTACCGAATTGAGGCAGCACAATAATGAATTAATACCAATTGGCTGTATATGCCATATACTACATAATTCTTGCAAGAAGGCAATGAATGTGCTATCTGTGGATGTCAAAATAATTGTGATGAAATGTTTTAACGAATTAAGTTCATCAACTAAAAGAGTTAATGAATTAAAAGAGTTGGTGAAGTGGACTGACTTGTAATGGTGTGAGTTGTTGCGATATATATCTATCAGGTGGTTGTCATTAATACATGCCATCGATAGAATTTTAAAATTAACCCTTAAAAAAAATATTTTTTAAATAGAGATAAAAGCTGTCCTAAAATTTTGAAAAATTTTTTCAAGTATGAAATGGCAGAAGCATATTTGGGATTCGTTTCACATGTAAAATCTACTTCATCCAGTTAATATTTAGTTGCAATCAGAATATTCTTTATTAAAAAATATTCACAAAATCATGCTACACATCTCTATAGTTAAAAATTGATAATAAATTTTATGGGGCTATTGCTAAAAATATTATATTAAAATGTTCAAATAATACTCTAATGAATACATTTTTAAATGAAGCAGATATTTTTATTTAGACAATTTTAGAATATTTACAATCAAAATTTGATTTTAATAACCTATTTACAAATATATAAATATTATGACCTCGGAACAGAAACCATCAATTGTTGGTTTTTATAATTTAATAAATATATTAAAATTACCGAAAGACTAATGTCTTGTTTGAGGAGAATGTAATTCTCTCTATTTTTTATCATTCGCCAAAATACTTAAAGTTAGAAGGTGAGCAGAGGAGAAATGGGTAGAAATTTTTCGTAATAACGTTAAATCCTCATGCTTGAAAAAAATATGCGAGTATGTCTTCTCCTTACCACATTCTAATGCCTCATCCGAGCTCATTTTTATCCTGATGAGGACTGCCTGCAAAAAGGAGAGAAATCAGGTTACTTTAACAACATTAGAGGCCCAACTAATGGTTAAACAAATATATAATATGTCATGCCAGGAATTTTATAAATAACTCAATAACGACAAACATTTAGTTCTATTATTTAAATCTCAAATAAAATATAACTAAGTTTTAGCAATCACGATCTTGAATTAGTGCGGTAAAATTAGGATTTAGGTTTATGAAATGTCTAGAAAATTTTACAAGAAATTAAATTTATTTTCCAAAATCCTAATGCAACTTTTAAACAACGAATAAAAAAAATTATTAAAAAGTAGAAAAGTATATTTATAATTATTTTTAACCTATCACCTTTATAAATAATATAATAAAAAATATTTTTAGTTATTGTTAGATATAAACATTCTTTGCGGAGTCCTGCCTAGATAGGATATTATAAATTCTCTAATAGCAGTTACATAGGCGTAGGTGAGAGGGGGTTTTAAAATCACCAAAGCCTTGGTCTTTGGATTTATGAATAAAATTTTAGTGTATCATATTTATATGCTATTATTGATAAAATTCTTACCTCTCCTCGTGAATTTACCAGTTCTCGTAAATATCATATTAAGCTAACAAAAATTTGCACCCAATACCCCCCTTTTCTTCTTCTCTGTGTATGATATATCGCTTTAAACAATTTCTGAAATGTTTTTAGTAAAAGTTAATTATCTTTTAAATTTTTTAGTAAAAAGCATTTTTATAAAATAAATAAAATAATGAAATTATTTTTATAAAAAATCTACTTTATTCAAAGGCTTACAACGGCGTTGTTAAAGAGTGGCGCTCCTGGAGCGCCGCTACATTTTTTTCAAAAACACCTCTTTTGAAAATTGGGGAGCGGGAGCTGGAGCTAGCTCCTTTTAGGGCTGGAGTGGAGGAGCGCCGCTCCAAATTAAATTATTTTTTAAATATTAGTAATATTTATTAATTAAAATTCAATAAAAATGAAATTTTATTTAATTTAAATTTATCCATTATTAAATGTTTAGGAGTTTTATATTGGTTTTACATCTAATCATTTTGTTCCTTTATATATTGAAAATTTTTTGGAAAAATTTGGAGGTCATATTAATATTCATTTTATAGTAATAAAAAATATTTTTAGATATTATGGATTTAGAGATCATAGATGAAGAAATTGAATTTCCATTTCATCATACAAAAAATATTTTAAACTTTTAAAAGATGTTGATCCAAAGATTAAACAAATTTAAAGTCAAAATGTGCTTTTGTGTTTAAATAAAACTATTTAATTTTCAAAAGTGAGCAGCTTCAATCTAAAAATACATCTAAAAGTAAAAAATCTTTCTTTTAAATACAAATTTATTTGAAAGATTTTTTGGATTCCATGAAATTGATCGTCAGGAAGATAATATATTGGACAAATAGTTTTTAATTAATGATACCAAAATTACTAACTTTGATATCCCTGAATTAAATATCTTCATAAAATACAATAACCTGCTTCCCTCTAGTGCTCTTGTGGAGTACCTATTTAGTATTGCAAGGTCTTAGGGGAGAGGCGTGGATGTTTGTTAGATTCTAATTTAGAAAATTTATTACTTTTAAAAGCTAATAGAAGGTTATAAATATTTTGATAGATCATTTAATATAAATAAAGTTTTTTGATAAAAAATATGATTTTGTTTTATATACCTTCTAAAAAAATGAAAATCAAAGGAGCGGTTATGGAGTGGTATTCATTTATTTGAAGCAGGAGTTAGCTCCTTTTAAAAATGTAGTAACGGGAGCATGAGATAGTTCCATTTGAGAAGGTAGGAGCAGGAGCTAGCTTCTTTTAAAAAGGAGCGTTAACAACTCTGGCTACAATAAACATCTCCAATAAATACGGCGAAATTGGCTACTATGAGTGATAATATAAAATTGGATTCACGTTTTTCTACCTAAATTAGTTAGTTCACAGAATAATCTCTCAATTATGCAATAATGTATTTTTTCAATGTTTGATGATCGAAAGATAAACCTTATTTTTCCTATTTCTATATTCTTCGTTTATATTGTAAATATGATTTATTTAAGGTTATTTAATGATCCTTTTTTAAATATTGATATTTGTATTTTGTTAAAATATTTATGCATTAGATTATTAAATATACTCCATAATATGAAAAAATTATAATAAAAGTGCCCCCTAATTACTTTAATTTCTTTACATTGCACATTATGTTTAAATTTTTTTAAATTTTCAATCAATGTGCATGTAGTCTGAACTAAAACAGCTTTAGGATGTCTGTATTGTATATATGGAAGATAACAGGATACATAATATATATGATAATTCAAATATAAATATAATTCAAAATAACCGTAAAAACAATTATTTGTATACATCCACACAAATACCTGAGCAAAACCAAAACCTTAGATATAGCTCGGCTAATTATGTACAACATTCGCAAAATATTTCTTCGTTAGATGCATATATAAATTCTAATCAAGTTAAAGCAAATATTCTTAATGAAAGTTATTTTAAAAAAAATATTTATTCTGACATTAATTTTACTTCTTAATTATGATTATATAAGCAATATAAAGATTAAATTATGTTATTTTCTATATACCTTTTTATTAACAATTTTAATAGATAAGATTTAAACTAGGTCTCAGACCAAAGTTTAAAACAATGGTTTTTAAAACATTATTTTAAGAAAAAAGTAAAGCAAAAAATTGTTAAAACTAAAAAAATATTTTCTAGTTCTGTTTCATAAATAATTGATCTATAAAGAACTTCTAAAGCAAAGCAATAGTGAAATTATTTTGTTTCATTTCTATAAATTTTAGATGAGAATGTTGGGCAACAAATTTTCATCAGATCATTTGTATTAATTTTTTGTAATTTATATTACATTTCACCCAGAGCCTATTTCAAAAGTTCTAAGACTATAAGGAAACCTATAAAATTTTGAAAATTTCACAAATATAACATTTTTTTATTAAAAAAAGGCTTATTTTATGGTTTTCGATAATCTTTTCAAATTAAATTTTTTGATGTAAGAGTCAAGAAAATATAAGAGATTTTTAGTTTAATAATATACAATAAATTCTAATGTAATTAATTTTTAATAAAAAGGTAATAAAGTGATGCTTAAAAGAGAATTAGATCAGCGTTTTTTGAATATGATGAGATATTCTATTCCTGAGAATAATTTTCCTTCATATTACAATCTACAACCAAATTACAATTTTCCCACATACATCCCATATATGTGTCAAATTCCTAATAATTATAAATTTCTGAATTCTGATGTGACCAATGGTTGGCAAAATGGGTTTGATATAGGAAACATTGCCTATGATAATAAATATAATTCCTGTGTTACCTCTGTAATCAATGAATCCTCCCTTGATCATTATAGCTATGAATCAATATCAACTCCTTTTGATCCAAATCAAATTAGCACACCTAAAATTTCATTGCCTAGTCAGAAACTTTTAAAAACTAATCAATCATTACATTTGCCCAATCATTCAACATGTGCAATAGCAACCAACAATTCCATCTGTAATGATAATTGCAAAGGACTCAGAAAGAAAAAGAAAAGATCTCTTGTAAGTTTTTTTTTAAAACTAATCAATATGTGTAAAGGTCTTACAATTAATAAATTATCCTTGTTCTTTTAACATTTTCATATGGTAAATATTGTCTTTTATTAATTAGAGTGCTTAATTTGGCAAAAAATGAGCCAGTTTTTAAAATAGATAGATATTATGATTATATTTATTATTTATTTATTCATATTAATTAGAATACTTCAAAGGATCTATTTTTTTTAGGTATGACCTATCCAATCCAATTTTTTTTTTCAATAATCTGAGTTTGATCTTTTGGAATTTTTATCAGGTTTAGGAACCAATTGTTTTGATGGCTCAGCTCCATTCCAGTTCTTAGTTTGATATTTTAATGTGATTTAGTTTCATTCAAGTTATTTTTAAACACATTTATATTAGTTCTTTTCAGTTTATTCCAGCTTTTATAAGTTTTGTACAGTTTAAATATATGCTATTTTTTAAATTTAATACATAGTTCTATGTATTAGAGATTTTGGGCCAGGTTGGGCTTAATATTTTTAATAAAAATTTGGGCAGATTAGGACATGCCTAGTAAATTTTTTTAAATATATCGAAATTTATCAATTTTATATTGAATTTTTTATGCAAAATAAAAATATTTTATTTATAGAAATTAGATGCCATATAATATATGCCTTTAATTTTGAGTAATTATAAAAATTAATATCTATATTTAAATAAATTCGGGCCGGGTCAGGCCGGTAAATTTTTTTTAAAAAAAATTTCGGGTTCGGGCCAGGCCGGCAAAACTTTTTTAAAAAAAATTTCGGGCCTACCCGGAAAAATTAGGCTCGATGCACTTCACTACTATGTATTAATAGCATGAAAGATTTTATTTTTGTGGACATATTTAAATACAATTGAAAGCAATTATCGAAACTTAAATATTGTGTTCAAATATTAAAAAAAATGCTGAAAATATAATTTATTATTATGATAAAAACTAGTTTATTTAAAATTACTTTTTATATTACCAATGTTTAAATATTAATTTTTTTTAAAAAAAATAGTCCAGCTTAAATCATTTTAAGATTAATAGCTCTGGGGAAAATGGGATGCCGATTATCTTGTGAATATATCTTGGAATTTGTCTTGTTCTTTCTAATATATTGTTATCAAGAAGAAATAAAATAAGAAGCATATCTTATTCTTAGCATTTGTATTATTTTTTTCAGTTACATTTTTTTTTATAAGAAGGAATACAATATTATAATCATGCTATTTTCAGTTTTATCTGATCATTAAGAAATAATTTCGTACATTCAGACTTTTTTTTTATATTCTTAGCATATTTTTTACTGATGTATAATTTTTTTAATGGTAAAATCAGTAAGCCTGCGGTTCAAAGCTCCCTAGGTACGCGTGGTAGTGTTGTTAAAAAGTTTGATTTGGGTCAATTCTTCGAAGCAGCCCTATAAGATTTTTTCCGAAATATTATTATGTAAGCATCAAGATTTTGGCAAATAGATGTCGAAGCATTTCTGCCAGCTACGAGCAAAATCTTTTGGCTAACGTTATTTTGGTTATAATCTTAATCCGACCGTTTTTTTTAAATCAACCCGAACAGGACTTTTTAACAACACTAGTGCAAATAAATTCTGACAGGACCTGATAATTTCTTTCTTTCGACGGGGTAAAGAAATTTGGGCCTAGCCGAAAATTTTAAATCGCGATTATTATTATTTATATATATAATAAATAGATGAAATAAAAGACATTTACTAGGCAGCGCCGAGAAATTATTTTTCTTTACTAATCTGGGCCGGGCCACGCAATTGATACCTCTGTAAGTCTCTGGGTAAAATAAAAATTTATGTTATCTGCTTCTTTTTTTTGCATTCAAATTTGAAAATGACATATTTTAAAAATAAAGTTGAATTTCTATGCACAATAGCATATAGTAAACAACAAATTTGGTAACATTAAAATTATCGAAAATTTAAATTTGTGCTAATTTTTTTTTTAATGTTAAATATTTTAAATCATCCAATTCAAATTTAAAATAAATAAATAAGATTTCAAAAACTGTTGTCAATGAACTGGTTTAAATCCGTTCGAATGTTATAACGGTTGGGTTAGGGTACAGGATATGATAAAGATTTATATTCGGTTTGTTTTGCCTGTTTGAAATTAGTGTTGTTAAACGGCTCGTTTTGAGCCGATTTTTAAAAACGGCTAACTTACTATTTCACCTAGAATAATATAACTTAAGCCTGAGGATTTTGCTTGTAGAAGGAACCAAGGTTAGGACATCTATTAGAGAAATCTCAAGGCTTAGGCTATATTTTTCTGGCCAAAATATCGAGTTAGCCGTTCTTAAAAATCGGCTCAAAATGAGCCGTTTAACAACACTATTCGAAATAAGTTTAAATCGATCCGGTTCAAATTTATTGGACCGACGAATTTTGAAGAAAGCACAAAAATTGTTAGCACTGAAATAGAATAATAGATTTTGATATAGGTGTTTAATAATATATTTTTTTAAAAAAAAACATTAGGAAAACAAAAAAAAAATCGAAATTTATCGAGTTTTCGGCTAGAATTAAAAATTTGAGAGAATAAATCTATTTCTCCGAGTTTGATTGACTTAAGTTTCGGTCGATCCTCGGAGTTTAATGTCAATCAAATTCTACGTGAAGATATTAAGTTTCAAACAACAATATTTATGGCCATTTCAATTTGTTTATCTTCATAAATTGTAGGTTTTTGAAATAGTGCTCTTAAAACGGCTCGATATTAGCCAATTTTTAAAAATAGCTAACTCAATATTTTACAGAAAATAAAAAAATATTGACTAAACCTCAAGATTTCTCTAATAGATGTCCAAATCTTTTTGCCATCTATGACCGAATTCTTCAGACTTGCCCAATATTTTTCTGGATAAAATATCGAGTTATAGTGCGCACAAATTGAGCGTTTACGTTTAGCTGTAATTTTTAAATATAAAAAATCGTAACGCGTCCCTTGTTTAAATTGAGGTTATCTTTTTATTCGTATCCGTCTATTCAAAATTTTAAATAAGTTCTAAAAAAAAAGGATTTGTCTTTGAAAATTATATTATCGTCTGCCGTTCTTATTTCTTTAATTTCCAAATATTCCTTATTAGGATTATAAGTAAAGTTATTAATATTACATTTTATTTAATATTACAAAACAAAGATTAAAAAAAGTATTGAAAAAGCAAACTTGTTTGCGTATTTTTTTTGCTAACGCCAAACGGTAATTTTACCAATTTACACGAGACCATTTGAAAGGCATTATGTTCACACTATTAGCCTTTTTGGACCATAAGCCCACCCACCCAATGTATTAAAAAAATTTAACCCTCCAGCCTGACCATTCTTAATAAATTTTTGCCCCCCCCCCCGCCCAATGCAGACCTTTAGCTAGTAGATTTTATCATTTTTAATTGATAAAAAAAATATACCAAATAGAGAGTTCCAATAATCAAACTTAAACAGTATATTTAAATTTTATCATTTATAATTAAACAATTGATACTTAACTATTATTTTATTCATTTATTCGATAAATTATCATTTTATAAAAATAAAATTAAAAAAAAGGAACCCGAAAAGAGCGCAGAAAGTGATCGACGTTTGCCAATCATGAACCAAAAGAAAGCCAGTGGTTGGGCCCTTCATATTCATTTAGCGTGGCTCATACATTACCACCAAGAATATAGCAAAATAAACCACCTGAACCCGAATCTATCGCAGTCCAATAGTCACGACAATTGCACCTTCAAAAAACTTCAAAAAATGGTCAACGAATCGTATAACGTTAGCGGTTTATTCGGTCAGCCGCTGCCTAAAACAATATTTAAGGAGAATATGAACGAATCCAACTTAACGATAGGCACAGTTAAGAAATCCAGTTTTACTCCCATTTCTCGTAACATTGTTTAAAAAAAATTTTCATTTTTGCAAAAAATTCAAATTGTGAAAAACGAAACGACGACACTGCTAGTAAAATAATATTAAAAACAGGGTAAAATATTTTTTATTTATAAAAAAACAAAATTATCACATTACAACAGGGTATTTTAGTCATCATAACATTAAAAATAGAACATTTATATTTTTTTTCGATATTTAATTTCATTTTTAATAACTAATTTTAGAAGATTATTTACAATTGTATACATAAAACCTAAATATTATTACGCAAACGGAATTTTACAGGGTATATTTTATGCAGTCTAAATATTGTAGTTTTTTTAAAAAAATTTTTATAGTTATATATATTCCTAATTTTATTATTAAGATATTTGAAATTGTATAATAATTATTATATATGCATGATTATTGTTACGATTGTAAGATTTTTTTTTTATTTCTTGGTGTCCTTGTGGTAATATATATATTTTTTAATATATTTAATCTATTTCCTTTTTTAAATATTTCTTTAATGAATATGTGTGTATAATATTTTTGAGTATACTTTGATCTTCTTTAGGAACGTGATAATTCTGCTATTTCCAAAATGATACATAACAAATTTTTTTATATTTATAAAAAGGAATATTAAAAAGTTTTTATCACTTTTTTTCTCTTTCTCTCTCTCATGATTTAAGAAGTCATTTTTTAAAAATTAAATTAGATTTGAAACACAAAAAATATCAAAATTTTATATTCGTTATATATATAATGTATTTTTATTATTTATCATTATTATATCTATAGTTTAATTATCGACAAGTCCTTTGATGTGATATTTATCGTCAAATTTTTTGATGAATAATTAATTTTCGTATTTTTTATTTGTATACCAATTTCCATGCTTCCTTAATTGATAACTAATTACACAAAAGAAAATTTTTAATGTCACGTTTTTTTTAAAAAGAAATGTCAATTTAGATAAATTTATCATTTCATATATTTTTTTTGAAGATTCTTATGTATTCCATTAATCATTATTATATTTTCTAATAATTATTATTATTACTATTCAACAGGGTAATTGAAAGCTGCAAGATTTTTTAGGGTATGAAAAATGTGCCTATATAGATAGATATGATTTTATTTCTTGTTATATTAACTTTACCATCGAGTTTTGATTCACGCGAAAATCATTTAATATTTTTTAAAATAAATAAGATCTTAAAATTCGGCTTTTTTTTTATATAAAAGTAATATTTGTTTGAGGTGTAAAAATTAATAAATAACAATTTTTAAGATTTTTTAATAATATTTATATAAGAAAATTTTTTTTAAAAAAATAAATGATAATCTTAAAAAAATATGAAAGGTTGGTTAAACCGCGTATTAAATCTAAATTTTCATAAATTTAAGAGTGTGTTCAAAGATCTTTGTACTGGATATAACTAAACCTCCATAGCATATAAAATTTTGGGTAGGTTAAAATAATTTTTAAGCAAATAGAACGCCTGATTAGTTAATATATTCATTTATTTTATTTATAGATTAGAACAATTCTGGTTTAAAAAGTTTTATATTGAACTGCCACCACAGATTGGAGAACTATTATGAGTGTAAATATTTAAATAGCAGATTTGGGAATATTGGTAGGAGAAAATTTCTAATTTTATGTGTTAAGAGATGGTCTGTAGTGAGCGTAGGATTCTTAATGTCCTGATCATTATTTGTGAAGCCATCATCTAAATATCAACTATTTAATAGAGGTGGTGTTACTAAACAACTCTAGTTAGCTTTTAAAACGGCTAATTGACGATTTTAGCCAAAAGAATATTTTACATAAACCTCTAGATTTTCCTGTTAGATGTCCAAACATTTGTGCCGTCTGTGAATAAAATCTTCAGGTTTGCGTAATATTTTTTTTTACCTAAAATATTTACTTAGCTGTTTTTTTAAAATCGAGCCGTTTCAATAACAATTAATATAGTGGTTAAAACTTGGATAAATCTATTATTGCTTGAATTAATAAGCAAGATAATGATAGATTCGAAGGGTCACTTTGTTGTATACATTTACAAGAAAATATGCTGTAGATTATATAAGTCATATTAAACGCCTAACCTTGATTTTATTAGATATAATATGTATTATATTATTCACTTTAAAATCAAAACATGGGGAAAAATAAATATCTACATATATATAATGGATAATTATTGAACCAGGAACGTAACGTGAAGTTTACTACTTAAGGAACCAATCAACTTTTTATTTTTATTAACATACAAAATATCAATTTATAAATGAGCAATAAATTTTTTTTCAATTAGGATTGATTGGATAATGGATAAAATTTTTAATTCTCTTTAAATATTAAAATCTTGGCTCTCAATTTTCGGTTGTTTGAAGCCAAAGTTAGGTTGAAAAGTTTTGATTTCCTTTTTTTGAGTTTAGAAAAGATAATTTTTATAAATATTTAACAACACGATCATTTTAACAATTAGTTATTTGTTTTAATATCATATATAAACTTGTTTTCCATTCTAACCACCTTTGGATCACGTGGGGTGGGGGGTTTCGTACCCTAATCCTGGCCATGGAAAATTGTTTTGACCCCCAGAAATAGCTTCCAATTTTTCCTCCCCCAAAATTAAAAAAGAAATAGTTATATTAGATCTAAATGAAATCACCTTCGGTAGCAAAGTTCAACGCCTTTTTTAAAAAATTGGGCTAACGGATTAGTGAAAAAGGTGATCAGCCATCAATCCCTCTTCTTGCTGCAAAGACTTACTACCGCCATTATTCGCTCCAACTATCTAAGTTTTATCTCATTCATTGAATAATCTTCCATGTGCTGCTCATCATGCTTTCTTTCTCCTATTTTCTTTTTTTAGACATCCTCTTTTTTATAAAATTCCTTATCCATTCTCCTAAATTCTATTTTTATATTTTTCACCCTCATTAATTTTACAATCATACGTCAATTTACCTATTGATAACATATTTATTTTTTTTAACGAAATTTAATATGTATAATTATTCATATACTAACATAAAATCTTTCCACGGACAACTCAATATTGTGAAACATTTTTCTACAGAATATTTATAACAATTTCTATAGAAAAATAATAGATAAAAAAAAGAGTTAGATTCAAATTTTAGATGAATAAATATAAATGTAAAAATTAAATAATTTCGCACTTTGAAAATGTTTAGAAAAAAATATAATTCATTCAAATTTAAAAATAGACCCTAAATCTTTCAGGGATCAAAATTTGTCCTTTCATATGAATTATACAAAATTAAGCATAAGGCGTTTATAAGTGTGAACTTTTTTAAATGACATAGTTAGTGGCTGATAAAAATTTATTTTTTGGAACCAGAGGTAAGGGTTTTCGTGTAGTTATATCTTCAAATACATTTTATAATAAAGTTAAAGGAGAAAAAAAAAATTTCAAAATATCAAGAATATATATTCGTTCATAAAAACAAAATTTGGTAAATTAAATGTAATATTCATAAATTTTTTTAAAAAAAAATAATCATAATATATAAATTTATATATAAATATGAACTAATTAAAAAAATTATCCAAAAATAGAAATAACAAAATTTATAATCCATAAATGGCTTTCGAAGCGCTGCAGTAATCAGGAAACCAAAACACGTGTTCAGGCGAAGATGCTATAGAATATACTTGTTCGAGATCCACATTTTTTGTATAAGCAAATACGTATATTTCGATATCTAAAAATAAATGAAACAGTTTTAAATCATTGAAAGAAAGAAAGAAAGAAAGAAAGAAAGAAAGAAAGAAAGAAAGAAAGAAAGAAAGAAAGAGAGAAAGAAAGAAAGAAAGAAAGAAAAGTATACTTCAATATATATTAAATATATTTTTACCGTATTGTTTTAAGAGCTTGGCAATTTTTTCGGGGTTACCCCGAGATTTACCCGAAATAAAAACCAATATTTGTTTTAGCGGATATGGCCTGTTAGAAGTCTCAAAAAGCTTTTTAGCCAATTGTAAAGCTTTACCCACATCTAAATCGTCAGCTGGTAGAAAGAAAAAATAAATAAATATAATAATTGAAACGATTTAACAAAATTATCGATTAAGTATACCCGCCGCGTTGAAAATAGGTGTAGGCAAATTTAATATCCCAGTAAATGCTTTTGCACAATTTAAAGACAAATGAACATTGGCATCTTTGTTATAAGTAATGATTCCCGTATCCGATCCCGCAATTCCTATCGGATTGTTTCCAATTCCGAAAAATATCGAGCCCTAAAAATCAAAAAATTTAATAAGCAACTATTCATTTCGTGCGTAATAAATTTGGTTGAATTTTATATTTATATAATATATACGGTTAGCATATAAATGAATGTTTTACAAATGTAGACGAAAGTGAACAATCATATTCTCTAGAAGATGAGTAAGCCAATTCCATAAGAACGATAACATCGATGGGTCTGTTTTTAGCTCCAATAGCTTTCTTGAACAAATCGAGATCAAACTTAGGAACTTTTAATACTATAAATGGGTAAATTTTTACACATTCAAAGTGATTATGATAAAGTAGCGAAGTAGGCAAAAGAGCAGTTATAAACATTTTTCTCAACATTTTGGAATAGAAAAATAAATAAATTATTTTAAGTGAAAAATATATAAACGAAAAGTTGTATAAATATTTTGTTTTAATTTACAATGTATATATTCAAATTAATCTAAATTTAATTTACATTTAGAAAAAATAAAATACTTGAGTTGATCATCTAATATTCATCAACAAACAATTATTACTGAACTATCGTATTAAAATAATTAGATATGATAGATATAAATAAAAGTATACTGATCTTGCCAAAATATAATTAATTTTTTTATTTGCTATTGCTATACAAAAATTTATATTTCAAGTAAAGCAACTAATAATGACCCATCCGCAATTTTAAGAAGTATCGTAGATTGAAATTTAAAAATATAGCGTTACATGACTCGGACAATAAGAGTGATTTCTAGACAAACCTAAAAGAAACGGTATTTTGTAAACAATTTTTTGATATATATATATAAATTAACCAACAGAAGTTATAGGGAAATACCTCAAACGAGCTGAAATATAAATTTTAAATAAATGACAATTTAATGATTTATTCCTGAGAAATTGGCCCGAAATTTTTTAAAATCATTTAGAAATATTTCTATAACATTATATAAACCCACTAACATACACATGATATTTCGAAGACTATAATAAAATATTTATATTTCTAACGATATCATTCATAATAAATATAATTCAAAAACAAAAAGGACATCATTAATATCGAGAAAAAAAAAGTTTCAATCAAATATGATTATCAAATTGTAGTTACCAGAAAAATATTATTATTACTTTAACCCAATACATATTGTGATTAAATATCTAAAATGTTGGAACAATGTAATATAAATAATATATTTTATTCTAACATATAAAATAAGTCATTAATTTACAATGATTTATTATAAATATAGAAAATACATCATAAAAAAAATTGATCTAAATTACTTATTAACAGAGTTGTTAAAGTATCTAGATACAAGTATCTAGATACTGTATCTAGATATAAAAATGTAGTATCTGTATCTGTATCAAGATAGATTTTTTAGAAAGGTATCTGTATCTAGATATTTTTTTAGAGGTATCTGTATCTGTTTTTAGATACTTTTTAAGATACATTTTATATACCCCTTTTTTTATTATAAATAAAAATATTTGACTGTAAAATTTATTTTATTTCATATGAGCTTATGAAATAAATAAATATATATATATTATATATTAATATTTATTAATACTATAATAAAGAATAATATATACATAAAATATTAAAACTTATATATAAAAAATATATATAAATATTCATTAATTTAAATATTATGTCCGAGTTTATCAATAAACCATACAAATTTTAATATTACAATATGGAAATGGTAAATTTTATTTTATAACTAAATTTTTAAGTTTATATATTTATTTAGATCTATATCGATGAAGAAGAGGAAGCAACAAGTTCTATTGCTTTACCATGGCCAAATTGAGCATATTTTAAAATAATATCTCAAAACAAAGAAAACAATTAATTCTCTGATGGTAAAAGGTTTGCCGTGTCTACCTAAAAATACAAAAATATCCGTCAGTATGACTTCAACGTGCAATATCGTGAAGCACATAAGGGTATAGATATTATATATTTAAAATTCTAATTAAAATTTTAAGAGAAAATATCCAACCTTGTTAACAAAAATAAAAAAGGGGAAGGAAAATAAAATACTAAAGAAAATATTGGCAAGGCTCATCCTCCAATAATAATTTTGCTAAAAGACCTTTGACTTTAACTCAAGGCACTTTAGATGATTTAATTATTGCTTTTATTATAGATGGCATGCAGCCATTATAAAAGAAAACAATTGATACAAAGATTAGCTGGTGAATTATCAAAGTCATCAACTGACTGCAAGCAAATAACCTGCCAAAAAAAACAAATAATTTAATTTCAGATTTTTTCAGTACCCTACAGCAGATATAATTTCTAATAATGATTTAAATTTTGATAATCAACAAATTTTAAATAACTTTTTCAAAAATAAATGTAGAGATTTTAGCATTTTTAAAGAACTGATATAAAATTGTTATTTATTAAATATAACACTACAATTCCTTCAAGCGCCCCTGTGGAAAGACTATTTAGTGTTGCTAAAAATGTCTTCACAGATAAACGAGGATGCCTAAATGATCAAAATTTTGAAAATATTTTATTACTGAAATCTAATAATTATCTAATCATATATTTTCATATATTATATTAAAATTATAATTTTAGTTATATTCTGATAAATGTTATATCGCGTCAATAAATTTTTAGCTCATTTCATGAATTTTCACAATATAATATTAATTTAGGTTTATGCAAACCTATATATAAGAGCATTAAAAAATGTATCTGTATCTTGATAACTTTTTAGACGCTGTATCTGTATCTGTATCTAGATAACTTTTGAGACTATGTATCTGTATCGGTATCTAGATCCATTTAAAAAGTATCTTATAACAACTCTGCTTATTAATGGTAAAATTGGTAGATCAAAATAGAGGTCTGCAATGAGTAGGTCTAAGTCAAAAAGCCTGCCTGGCCATTTTTAAAATATTTTTTAGTTCGTCCAGTCATCCATTACCCCTCCCACTCGTTCATTTAGCTATAAATTTTGTTTAGCCCGCCCGCCTAATGTTAAAAATATTTTAGAAAAACCGACCACGCCCGTCCGAAGTATAAGCGGACGGGCTAAAAACCCACCCATTGCAGAACCACTAGGTCAAGATATAATAAGGAATATTAATTTAAAAACATTAAAAAAGGGAAATAAGAAGGACAAAAAATTATGAATGCAAGAATTCCAAATTTTAAAAGATGAATATTAAATATTATTTTTTTTTAAGGAAATGTAAGGAAAAGTATCTGTAACTTTTTTTTTGTTATGAAAATATTAATAAAATCTCCAGGCTTGCCTCAAATTATTTTCACTAAACCCTTAATTTTAAAATCGACTAAATTGAGTCGTTTAAAACAACCTGAACTGCATCAACTCTGGTTTTTTTAAATAAATATATTAATTTTCCAAATAATTTTTTGACGTTTACTTTTCTTGCTTATTTTTATTTTTTTGTAATGGGCTCCAGATTAGAATTTGCTTCTTTCTTTTTTTGCTAAGCGGAGTGGAGCAGATATACATAAACAAATTTGTCTCATATTAGTATAGTTAAAACGAGGATTTAGCCTAAGATAATATATGACTGAACAAGGATATTTCCAACAATTAGAAAATAAAAAATAAAATAATGTTAATTTAAATAAAATACCCTTAAGGGACCGCTTGTATTTAGATTTGCCGGTTTCAGGACCGCTACCCCGCGTGGATTGAGGGTTTGTCGCGACTTTAACTATTCCACCATCACTTTCAGCAGCAAAAAAATATAATGTAAATGAAAATGAATAAAATGGCTATTTTTTGAGAGATAAAAATAATCCTCTTTTTTCTACCTTATTAATTATAATTACATATTTAACATCAAAGTTTGATCCGCTGGATAAAAGAAAGAAAGAAAGAAAGAAAAAAGAAAGAAAGAAAGAAAGAAAGAAAGAAAGAAAGAAAGAAAGAAAGAAAGAAAGAAAGAAAGAAAGAAAGAAAGAGAAGAAAGAAAAAACATAGTGATTTAGAAAATAAATGCTTTAAAAAATATAAATATAATATTTATAATAAAAAAAAATATACCTTTTCGACAATATTTTAGTATTGTCGACAGGAGTATTTGCACACATACCGGAACAGCAATCAAAGTTCACGGAACAAAAGAAAATTATCAGGGCGAGAAAAAGAGGTAGGGAATGTTTCAGATTAAAAACAAATACATTTCCTAATGGTAAAATCATTTTCGTGGAAGGAATGGCGTAATGATTCATCTCGTTGAAATATGGGACTTGAAAAAGGGTTATATTAAATAAATTTTTTAAAATTTGAAATTTATTTTATATATGGAGAAAATTTGTTAACAAAAATTAAGATATATTTTTTTTATATATAATTAAATTATTTCTTAAAAGAATATTTTTGTCGGAAAAAAGATTAAATAGATGTCCTTGGAGTGGATAGCTTAGCATAGTACAATAGCATACAAGTGAATGTTATATTATGTTTTGATGGGAAAATAAGGAGATATATCATGAATCAAATATTTCATAATTTTTAAATTTGGGTCAAATGTCCAAATTTATGAACGTTTTGAAACATTTGAAGTTATTTTTCTCCTTTTTCTTTTTTTAAAAAAAATTACAAAACTTGAGTTATACTTTATTTGTATAATAATACATAAATTTTGGTTTTTTACCAGAGTGAATTAATTAATTTTTATTTAAGGCTAATTATTTTTTTATTATTATTATACAAGATATCCTTCAAAATGAATATTTGTTATGTCAGGCTAAGTCCATTGATTTCGATAATCGACCTGTTTAAACCTGTTTATATTTTGGAAGAATTTAAAAAAAACCATTTTAGATATGATTTGTTATAATTGTTTCAACCTTTTGGATAAATGATAATTTACAATTAAAATTCCTTTATTAATATTTTTACCATAAGCGAATTAAAGTGAATAACATTTGCGAGGTGTTGATATTATTTTGTCAAAAATTATATCCGCATAAGAAATAGCCATTAGGAGAAAAACGGCTTTATTTTGCAGGGAAATATATGCAGGTCTAATATATGGAATATTTTTATAGGCCACCTTGGAAAAGTTCAAGGGTGGAAAAGATGTGAACCTCTTTTTTAAAGGCCGATAAAAACTTAGAATAAATTTATGGAGCAAAATTTATAGTGCAGTTAAAAATTCGGAGTATTCAGATTCCTCACAAATTTCTAATTTTTTTTTTAACTACCAAATCTCGCTTAGAAAACCTTACTTTTATCTTCCAACTTTAAAGAATCAATTTTCGTTTATTTTGACATTGAGTGTAGATGTCGGGGAGGGCTATCTAGAACTAACCGAATCCTGTCATAGTTTGGCAGTTATAAAAGGGGGAAGTATAATGCCAGCAAAAAACCCTTAATAAATTTTAATAAATTTAGAATATATATATTTTTTTAAAATTTACTTTATTATGAAAAAAAAAGTGACCTTTCAAAACTAAACACCTTTTACTTATATATTTTATAAACAAATTTTCTTTTTCTCCAAAAAAAGAAAAGGTCATTATAGGTATGTTCAAAATAATTTAACGGTTTTGATGTGTTTTATTTCTTTTTATTTCATTGGTTATAATCGAATTCTGATCCCAACGAACTAATATTTTCTATAGCCTAAGATCTTACTACAAGGAAAAATAAACGCAATTATAATAAAAATAATATATGCCGAAATTTTTCATTTTTTATTTATTTATTTATTTATTCAATTTAATACGCTAAATCATTAAAATAAAATATAGATAATAAAATTATCTAAATCACGTGTTATTAAAAAATAATTTCGGGCCGGGCCGGGTAGGGTTTAAATTTTTAAATATGATATCATAACTTATTGTTAAATAAATTTGATATATTTCAAAATTCTTGCATTAAACAAGGCTCTAAAAAGACATTAAATTTTTCAATATTTAAATAAATTCTTTGCTGACAAATTTTTTTTAAATTTTGGGGCTGGGCGGATCTGGCCGGGATTTAAAAATTATGTCCGATACAGATCACTTTCTACATATTAAAAAATATGACATAGGCAGGGATGTGAACCATAATTCGTTCAGGAATTTTAAACTAACTAGAAGAAATTTTGATAATAAGAAGTTAACCGAAACCGATTTTCTGAAAGAGATCCGAACCCGCCCCGGGTCTATATTACCCTGTTTATGATGGGTTGCCAATAAATCGGTCTCTATTTTATCGGGGGTCTCAAAATGCCCAACCAAACTATTTCAAATTTCTGAACCAGAATTAGGTTGCACCTTCTTTCAACCCCAAAAATCTTCAACCGAAGAAATTTGTTAATTGGAAATATAGACTTTAAATAAGGAGTAGGATAAAAAATAAGAGAGATATGGGTTTAGAATTGGTTTGAGATAGTTAGGGTTATGATTGGCTTATTAATAAAATTGAATCTTCTATTGAATTAAAAACTTGATGAGTAAAATAACGTAAAATAAAATATATTTAAAAAAAAAGTGTAAAGATTAAATAATCATACCTTGAAATTTTTGGAAAAAAAAAATTAATTCTAAAATGGATAAATTTTCCGGTCAAAATACGTGGGGGCAAATTTTACCTCTCATGGGTTTGTAGATCAGCTCCTTATATAATGAACAAAGCTAGTCAATCGAAGTAAATTGTTTTTAACGCCAGCGTAATTAATAACGCCGCATTTATAGTAAAAGCTATTTGTTCAAGCGGTGCGGCATTTCATAAGTGCGTTATTTACAAAATCAAGCAATAAATAGGCATAATTTATATAAGGAGTATAACAATGAAAATGCTATGATAAAATTTTAAAAACATATGTTGTGACGTATATTTCAAAAATTCTCATCGCTGTTAAGAATCAGCTGAGATTTCGATAGCGTTAAATAGCGCATAGCTTGAACCTGTTTACTAAAAATGAGGGGTAATGTAAGTTATAAAATTTATTTTAATATCTTAGACTTGATGTTATAAAATACATATAATTTAGGAGAACAGTTTTTTTTCTACGAGAGTTTATGAAGCTTAATTTGAGATACTAAAAATTGTTTGGCTTGATATTTTGAAAGCACAGACCAAACAGAGAGCTTATTGACAACCCATCTATCCCTTGGTAATATGGACGGGACAGGTTTGGACCTCTTTTAGAAAATCGGATTAGATATTCGTATACCAAAACTTATTGTAAAATATAGTTTAAAATTCCAGGATTCAAATATTCGAGTTCACAACTCTAAATTTTACGTTAAGGTTTCTTATTGGCTAAGTACCTGGAGATAAACTTAATGAGTCAATATACAGTAAATTTTTATTTATAAAGTTAGTAAATTCATATATAAAATGTAATATATAATAATTTAAGCATATTAAAACTAAAAAATAACAAAATTTATAATCTGTAAATGGATTTTGAGGCACTGCAATAGTCCGGAAACCAAAATACGTGATCAGGAGAAGTAGCTATAGAATTTACTTGTTCGAGATTCACTTTTTTTGTCAAAGCAAACACAAATATTTCGACATCTAATATTATCAATCGGTTAATAATTTAAACGTGCAAATACAAATTTTTTTACCATATTCTTTTAATAGCTTGGCAGTTTTTTCAGGGTAACCCACAGAAGCATCCGAAATGAAAACTAATAATTGTTTTAGCGGATGTGGTCTTTTAGAAGTTTCAAAAAGTTCTTGAGCCAATTGCAAAGCTTTATCCACATTTAGATAGTAACCTGTAACAAATTTTTTATATAATAATTTAATTATAAGTTATCGATTTAGTACCTGATGCATTGAAAATGGGTGTAGGCAAATTACTTAATATCGTAGTAAATGCTTTTGCGCTATTAAAGGGTAAATGAAGATTGGCATCTTTGTAATAGGTAATAGTTGCCGCATCAGATCCATTAATTCCAATAGGATTGTTTCCAGTTTCAAAAAATAATGTACCCTATACATTAAAAAATATATTTGAATATATTTGGTGTTTAATAATCGTGGCATTATATATTATATAATACATAAGGTTAGTATAAATTATGTTTTACAAATGTGACTGAAAGTGAGCAATCATATTCCCTAGGAGATGAGTATGCCAATTCTATCAGAGCGATGATATCAATAGGCTTATTTTTAACTCCAACAGCTTTCTTGTACAAATCCAAGTCAAACTTAGGAACTTTAAAAAAAATATGTATATTATTCTAAATGGATAAATTATTTACATTCAAGTGGTTTAATATAAGGCTTGTTGATACCATATCCGCCATATAATGTATCCAAGTAGCAAAGTGCAAGAAGACCTATAAACGTGTTTCTCAACATTTCGGAATGGTAAAGTTATATTAAGTTCAAAAAATATGGATGAAAATGATTGGTACACTATATTTATATTAAAATATTTTATTTTACTTTATGACTAATATTCAAAATTAACTTAAATTTAGAAAACTTTGAAAAAAAAAATAAAATAATACTTAATTTGAATATTTGGGTTTTTCATTATTCATCAACTTGAGCTTAAATTTTTTAATTTGTGAAAATTAAACGATTTCATTAAAACCATATTCATTAAGTTATTGAATTTTTTTAAAAATAATTATAGTAAACTAATTAAATTAGTGTATATTCAAATTTATGTAAATTGTTTTTTTTAATATTTAATTTAAGTGAACAACTAATGATGGCATGTTCGCTGAGAGGTCTCGATTGAACTTGTATTTATAAAAAAATTATAGCAATACAGGGAATATAACAATAAATTTAGCTCTTGACAAACCAAAAGAACTAAGAGTATATTTTGTAAAACGCATTTCTTTGAGCCTGTTTTTAAACCCAGCAAGGGAGACTAGGGTGCATGCGAGCCCTTAAGGCAAACTTCAATAATATTGAAGCTACTTGATGATATTTAATTAAATAATATCTCATATTACTTCCGCTCATTTATTATTTTGCTATACATAAAAAAAATTATACTTTTGTAACAATAATTCATTTCTTCGAAAAAAATATATGGGAAAGGATGAGCTACACCCGGGGATGATTTTTTCCATGAGGAGTTTTTGAGCTGAAAATGATATACTATATATTATTTAAACTAACTTTATTGATAAAAAATAAGCCATATAATCGAAAATAATTATAAAAAAAATTGGTGAAATTTATTGTCAATTTAAAACATATAAAAAAAATAATGGATTAATATTGCAATAGGATCTGTTCCCAAAAAGAGAATTTAAGTGGGACAAAGACCCATCACTTTTGATAAATTTATTCTTGCTAATAAAATACG